TAGGGAAAACCATCAACTTGATTTGTCTCCAGCCTTGCATTCCTCCAAGCAAGGTAATGGTTCCTTTTGTTGTGTTCCTGCTTCAGAACCACTCGGTCGGTAGCAGAGGGACGACCAGCAGCAAGCTTTCAGGGGGCTGTCAGAGAACACTTTTGGTAGCCTGGTGGGCTTGCCAGCTGCAGCACCCAAGAGCAAGGCTAAACCAGTCTGGGCCCGAACAGCCTTGGCAGAACTCCAGGGAGGCCAGTAGAGTACCAGCAGGGCTGTTCTGGGGCCCAGTGTGTGCAGATGGCAATGAGTCGTTCATCAGATGGCTCTGACAGCTGTGAAACAACCCAGTCTGCTTTCTTCCTAGCCTGGGTTGGATAAGGCCAGGTCTAGGCAAGAAACTGGCAAGAAACTTTTGCTGACACAGACCCCAGCGCCCGTCTAACTGCCACAACCTGAGCGCTGCTCCTTCCGGCTGGTCCGGGAGTAACACCCACTGTTACAGCCCCCGCAGCGTTCAGAAGTGCTGCAAGGATCCTGGTATTGCAGACCTGGCCTTTTCACGGCTCTGGCAATCTCAGGCCACAAACCCCAGTTCTGCAATGGAGAAAGGAGAGCCAAGCAGACTGGTGGGGACTGCAAGGGTTTTGCCTTCCTCTGTAGCTGGGGCATGGCCCTCTTCCCTGGATCGCTGCAGCTCAGGGAGGGGACACTAGCAGTCCCTGTCCTCCTGCTCACGTGTGGCAGCTTCAGCTGCTCTTGATGCCCTTGGGCAAGGAGCCTTGCAACAGCACTGAGCAAGTAGTTTTAGGAAGAGGTTGACTGAGGACTTGTCTGCCCCATCCAATGTGGGACAGAGGGCTGGACTAGACGGGACCTCTGGAGGGCTCCTCCAGCCTGACTTCCCATCGGGGCAGAGGCGATCTCTGGGCCAAGGGTCCTGGAGCCCAGGCAGCAGCCAGCTTCGAGGGGGATTGCACGCGTGTGGCTGCAGTGCCCTGGAAATGCAAAATCCCCCTGGGAAGGAAGGTTTGAAACACCTGAGCAGGAGGTGCCCGGGTTACAGCAGCCCTAATAAGCTATCTTGGTTAGGGATAAAGAATCTTGTTTTTCACTGATTTTAAAAAAAAAAAAATCCCCAATTTTTGGTTTAAAAAAAGTAACCCAAAATGCACATTTTTCCAGGATTAAAATGAAACACCACTAATCTATAGGTACATATGTTGTGTATGCAAAGCAGGCTGTGCATTTGGCACAGCACTTGTACCTTTTCAGGGGGCACTGTATGTAGGAATATATCTATAGCGGTGTTTCATTTGAATCATGGAGAAAAGTGGATTTGGGGTTACTGTTTTTAACCCGAAAATTGGGGATTTTTGTTTTTTAATCGGAGAAAACCAGGATCCCTGCTGCTCAGCCCTCTGTCCTCTCCACTGCCCTGGGAAAAAGAGCCGAGCTGCTGCGAGGGGTGCAGCGCCGCCCTCTCGCCGCAGGGGGCAGCCGGGGCCTGGGTGCCGCTCTGCCCGCCGCTCTCTATGGCCCGCAGCTGGCGGCTG